ACTGCTGATCATATAATAACAGATTGCTGATATACCATAATAGAATAGAATAGAATACTGCTTTGACTGCTGATCATATAATAATAGATTGCTGATATACCATAATAGAATAGAATAGAATAGAATACTGCTTTGACTGCTGATCATATAATAATAGATTGCTGATATACCATAATAGAATAGAATAGAATAGAATACTGCTTTGACTGCTGATCATATAATAATAGATTGCTGATATACCATAATAGAATAGAATAGAATAGAATACTGCTTTGACTGCTGATCATATAATAATAGATTGCTGATATACCATAATAGAATAGAATAGAATAGAATACTGCTTTGACTGCTGATCATATAATAATAGATTGCTGATATACCATAATAGAATAGAATAGAATACTGCTTTGACTGCTGATCATATAATAATAGATTGCTGATATACCATAATAGAATAGAATAGAATAGAATACTGCTTTGACTGCTGATCATATAATAATAGATTGCTGATATACCATAATAGAATAGAATAGAATAGAATACTGCTTTGACTGCTGATCATATAATAATAGATTGCTGATATACCATAATAGAATAGAATAGAATAGAATACTGCTTTGACTGCTGATCATATAATAATAGATTGCTGATATACCATAATAGAATAGAATAGAATAGAATACTGCTTTGACTGCTGATCATATAATAATAGATTGCTGATATACCATAATAGAATAGAATAGAATAGAATACTGCTTTGACTGCTGATCATATAATAATAGATTGCTGATATACCATAATAGAATAGAATAGAATAGAATACTGCTTTGACTGCTGATCATATAATAATAGATTGCTGATATACCATAATAGAATAGAATAGAATAGAATACTGCTTTGACTGCTGATCATATAATAATAGATTGCTGATATACCATAATAGAATAGAATAGAATAGAATACTGCTTTGACTGCTGATCATATAATAATAGATTGCTGATATACCATAATAGAATAGAATAGAATAGAATACTGCTTTGACTGCTGATCATATAATAATAGATTGCTGATATACCATAATAGAATAGAATAGAATAGAATACTGCTTTGACTGCTGATCATATAATAATAGATTGCTGATATACCATAATAGAATAGAATAGAATAGAATACTGCTTTGACTGCTGATCATATAATAATAGATTGCTGATATACCATAATAGAATAGAATAGAATAGAATACTGCTTTGACTGCTGATCATATAATAATAGATTGCTGATATACCATAATAGAATAGAATAGAATAGAATACTGCTTTATATATATATATATATATATATATATATATTAGTCTTATGTATCTATATATATATATATATATATATCTATATATATTATATAGTACAAAATATGGAACAATTTTCCACAGTTCTCTTAAGACTAATCTACTATGATTAAATGTGTCATTCAGAGGTATTTCTGCCCGGATCACAGCGAGTGAGATGGTTTATGAAACTACTTCCTCAAACAGTGATGAGCTTGCAGCACTTATTCATAAAGCAGGAGAGAGGTACAACATTTCACAGCTTTAGCATCTCCTAACACATAAACCTGAGCTTTCCCACATGAACAAGCTGAACTTCTGGCGCATGTGTTAAAAAATGCAGAAATTGCCTTGGTAATGATGGTTTTGACACACTTATGATTAATTTTTTTTGTAAATCTTTCAACAGCCTTCAGAAGAAAGCACATGTGTACTATATTGGATGGCAAACTCTTGGCATTATAGGACTTGACTGATGCAAGTGAATGCATCCCAACATATGGAGCAGGTGCTGTGTGCAGTACCAAATATGATTTTAATCATTTGATATGTTCTTTAAATGTGTTAATTTGACAGTTTGTTAATGGGTAAATGAATAACAGTGCAAGAATACATTTATGGGAAATGTTTCAACCCAAAACTACTTTTTATTTGTAATTATTTTATCAGATTTTGATGACATCAGAGGTTTTATCAACAATGGTTTCAGCAAAAGGGGATCTATCATCTTTGGTGAGCTCAAAGTCATTCATTTAACAGCATAAAGTGACAATTCATTTTAAAAAAAAAGAAAATTTTATCATCATTTACTCATTCTCATATTATTCCAAACCTCTTTTGCATCTGCAAAACTATCCCCTATCCAATACCTTATATATTTATTTGAATTTTTCTTATTATAACATTTATGAACAGCTATTAATATAACAACTATTTCTAGGGGCCAGAATTTGTAATTGGCCACAAGGATTTTGTGGACACCATCTTATCTAGCCGAGTCAAAATGACATGGTCCTGTTTCTGTTTACAGTTAACGGTGAGCAAACACGAACCAGTTGCACAAAACATGATCAGTTCCTTAAATATATTTTAATGTCTCTCCTAAGATGATCTGCACGAGGTGACGGCACTAGCCGATCAAGTGAAGTGAAGGACATCTAATTTGCATGCAATTGCTCATGACCTTGAAAAAAATTCACCGTTCCTGTGAGTAAAATGAGTAACCAGGATTTTTGCCGCTAGCAAAAACTCTCACTTCTTAATAAAATTCCCTTCCAGAACACGTCTTCTATGTGCATAATGCTGCTTATGCAATCAGATCATTTTTGCATGGACTTTGCAGTTTAAAAGAGAGCAAATAACTTATATTTGAAATAATTGTATTATTATATTTTTTGCTATATATTGCTTCAGGAAAGAGTATGCAACATGTTTGAAACCGTTCTGCACATCACATGGCCTTTTTCCTCAGAGGACGTGAACTCATTTGTAATGGTAAGCCATTTGTCACATCAACTACTCCCACAAGTACCAATTTAGTTGAAGTATTTATACTGTATTATCTCTATATATACACGTGCTGTAAGAATAATAAAGTAAAGACTTCAAAGAGTCTTTTATTCAACAGAGACAGCGCTGGGAGCTTTCAACTAAATGGTGTCTTAATGCAATCAGCACAGGAGCTCATGTACTGAAAGGAAAAGTCTACATGAACTACATGATCGACCTCAAAGTAACTAACAGCAAGCTGTACAGGAGAGCCATCAACATTTTACAGGTATCATTATTATCATTATTCATATCATTATTAATTCATACTATTGGAACCAATTGAACCCCAAGTTAGATTAGAACCCAAAAATGCCAAACAATAACCTTCATGTACTGTTTTCGATCTCTTATAGGAACTATATAACAAATATGATGCCCTAGCAACTATATAGCAACACTACACTCTTAAAAATGAAGGTTCCAAAAAAAATTTTTTTGGTTCCCCCGAGAACCTTTTGGAACTTTAAAAGTTCTTAAAAGAACCATTGTTTAAATGTTTAAATGATCTGCAATGGAAAGGCTCTATGGATGTAAAATGTTCTTAACAGAACCATAGATGCCAATTAAGAATTTTTATTTTTAGGAGAGTAGCATTATGGAAAGTGTTTTGCATGGGCAAACACCACTCACATTTTCTTTGGAAAACGTAAAAATATAGTCTGAATTTTAAATAAATATTATGCCTGGCTGTTTTTAACTCTCAGTTTTAAAATTGAGCTGGAACTGTAATACGACCCCTGTGTGTGGTTTCCGTATGGTGGGTTTAATTATATACCATCACTGTCAGCAGTTCACAGGCTGCTCCGAAAGCGAGTGTGAAAGAGCTCTACTGAGAGCCATCTACAGTACAGATGACCTGAGTGAAGACATGACATCAGCAGATGTGTGGAAACACACAGATGCGGCAAACAGACGGGATCGAGTAAGAACTCGCTTATTTATCTTGACCATCTGTGAAGTAGACGGAAGTATTAATGACTAACGATTTTAAAGGAATTTTTACACTAACAAAGATAACACATTAGTTAACATTATTTAATGCATTAAAACAACCTAGTATGAGAGCCTGTTCTAGTACACCCCCAACACAAAATCAAGACTTTGTAAAAGAGCATAAAAGGACTCCTTTAAAGAATAAATTCACCCAAAAATGAAAATTTGCTGAAAATTTACTCACCCTTACGCCATCCAAGATGTAGATGAGTTGGCAGATTTGGAGAAATGTAGCATTGCATCACTTGCTCATCAATGGATCCTCTGCAGTGAATGGGTGCCGTCAGAATGAGAGTCCAAACAGCTGATAAAAACATCACAATAATCCACAAGTAATCCACACCACTCCAGTCCATCAATTAACATCTTGTGTAGTGAAAAGCTGTGTGTTTGTAAGAAACAAATCCATCAAGATGTTTTTTTAATTTCAAATCGTTGCTTCCAGCTAAAATGAGAGTCCATATTATTGCTTTCACAAGTGAAATAGTGGTCTGGTCTGAGCAAGTGATGGAATGCTACATTTCTCCAAATGTGTTCCCATGAATAAACAAACTCAACTATATCTTGGATGGCCTGAGGGTGTCAATTTTCAGCAAATGTTCATTTTTGGGTGAACTGTTATAAACTTTAATAAAAGCATTGCATTATTAGCACCTGATATGTTATACCTGATATATCCTGCACTGGCAGGTGGTCCCGACTGCACTGGTGATGATCCGGTGCGGTTGCACTCTCGCTGAAGCAAGGCATCATTTGGACTGTCATCCTGTGATTCGAGATGCAGTGAGTGCCTGCTTCAGTTCCTCCAAGAACAAAAGCACTGTGGACTAAACACACAACAACTTCATGCAGTGTTTCAGGCTGTGTTGCTTGGCTACTAATCAGTGACTACAAATTCTCATTATACTCTGTATGCATGCTGTGGCCTTTTGTTGTTGTTGAAATAAACCCAACTGTATGACATCAGGGGAATTCTGATCATTTTTTCGCACAAGACTTCCTTGCCCTACAAACAGTAACTAGTGGGAACCTGTCTGGCTGCAGTGAGCTGGTAGTAAAGTGCGCTAGTCATGCCATTGTACCATTATTCTGCTGGAGTGCACACGGCATGAGCAGATATGACTGGTAAACATGGGAAATTCTGCGTGCACCTGTAAACGTTGCTGTCCGTGTTGCCCACTGAAGAATGAAGAGCGGCCCCTCAGCCGCAAAAGAGTCTACAAGTCGATCTGCGACTATCCCTCACGCACAATATGGGATCTAAATCTGAAGAAAGGAGATATTCTGGAGGTGACAGGAGAGAATGAGCACTGGTTGTATGTGAGGAGACGCACAGCTAAGGGTAACGGATCTAAGGGCTTTGTGGAGGAAAAGGGATATGTGCCTAAAGACTTCATCAAACCGCTGGAGAGCATAGAGGCCGAGCCGTAAGTCCTTGAGTTACTTTTGATCATTTTGAGCTTGTGCGAATGTATAATATATAGAGCAACCTCACGCTTAGTGTTTTGAATCTCTGCCCTGAATGAAACTGGAATCCTGTGTTTCCAGTTTCACAAGTTCTGGTGAAGTTCCTACAGTGCTGTGTTTTCTGTAGAAAAGACTATTGAGAATAATTAGAGCGATAGGGTTTGGATATTATTGGACACTAAGATATATCAGGGTGAATCTGTCAAGAGACAAGTGTAAGATATCCAAAAAAGCAAATGAATAAATAAATAATTTTAGGAATCATTACGTTTTTTTTCTAAGCTTGTTAATTAAAATTAAATTAAATACATTAAATACTTTTTTTTTCATTTGTTGTGACATTATTTTCTTAACAATTAAGCATTTTTCCTCCATATTTTGAATAATGTAATGTTAAAAAATAATATTAATAATTTTCCCATCCTGTCCAGACACAAAAAGGAAGTCGTGGCGGGAAGTCGTGGCCTAATGGTTAGAGAGTCGGACTCATAACCCAAAGGTTGTGGGTTCGAGTCTCGTACCGGCAGGGATTGTAGGTGGGGGGAGTGAATGTACAGCGCTCTCTTCCACCTTCAATACCATGACTGAGGTGCCCTTGAGCAAGGCAACTGCTCCCTGGGCGCTGCAGCATAAATGGCTGCCCACTGCTCCGGGTGTGTGTTCACGGTTTGTGTGTGTGTTCACTGCTCTGTGTGTGCACTTTGGATGGGTTAAATGCAGAGCACTAATTCCGAGTATGGGTCACCATACTTGGCCACATGTCACTTCACTTTATAAAATTTTAACAAATCAGTATTACAGTGACTTATACTTACAATTATAATGATTACTTATTAAATTGAAAAATCAGCATAAATATTACAATGAAGTACATTTATGATTATACTTTACAAATGTACAAATTTATTAATAAATAAAAACAAAAAATATTATTAAATTATATTTTATATTATGATATTAAATATACTATGTGAACTTTTTTTCTATGAGATTCACCCATTAAAATCATTTACTTTATTGTCCATTTAATCTGTCATACAATGTACCACCACATACTATATTGATATAAAAATACACTTACTTAAAAAAAGTATCAACTGATTTTCAGATGGTATTTTGAGAGTGTTAAAACACGTATAGAGGCCAAGAGATGTCTGCTGAGACCAGAGAACAAAGAGGGTGCGTTTCTCATCTGGAAGTGTGAGGAGAATAATCAATATTACTTATCAGGTATGACAAGTGTGATTCACACACACATAATATCTCAAGCCTCTGCCACTTTCATCTAACTGTACTGAACCCAATAGAAAAGAGATCAAGTAACAATAAACCAAACTTAATCTTAACTTGGAGAGTAGTTGAGTAACATTTTCTACAAATTATTTTTTTTAAAGTGAGGAACGGCCTTCATGCACGGCATTACAGGGTCAAGCAGGGAGAAAACGAGAAGCACTTCTTCCTTGTTCATCACACAACCTTCCAGAGCTTGCGTGAGCTGATAGAGTTTTACTCTAAAAACGAGGGCGGACTCTGCGCGAAGCTTCACGAACCCTGTGTGAAGGTCAGTGGAGAGTTCAAACCTACAGGTTAATGAAAGTACTGCAGCATCCTATAAAAAAAGTTGTCCAGCATAATTCCAATCTGTCCATACTCTTCTAGCTGGACCAGCCAGCTCCTCTGACTCTGTCATTTGAAACCAAATGGGAGGTAGACAGAAGCTCACTTACCAAAATAAAGAAGCTGGGCAGCGGGGAGTTTGCGGAGGTCTGGCAGGGGCTCTGGAACAACACCACAGAGGTGGCCATCAAAGAGTTCAGAGGTAAAACAGGTTAAATCAGTGGTTCTCAACTGGTTTTACTTCACGTTTACACTTAATACTGAGTGGCGACCCAAATGCAGAATAAATGTCTTAAATTAAGAAGTTACTTTCATTAATATTGGCATAAACATGTTATATTACGTTTTGAGAACATTAGTAAAGACCAGATAAATTTGAACAAAAGTTATATTAGCGTTACTGGAAGAATATTTGTTTTTGTATGATTATCTAGATAAGTATGATTATCTAGGAAGGTCCATCTCAAATGATTTTACTTTTAAAATTATGATAAATTGTTATTATCTGTCCCACTTTACTTGCAGATGTCAACTATTCAAATATCAAAACAGAGATTGATATCATGAAAGAGCTGCATCACGAGCGTTTGCTGAAGCTCTACGCTGTGTGTATCAATAGTCAACCCATGTGTTTAGTCACAGAGCTCATGAAAAATGGCAGTTTAAAGAAATTTCTCATCAGTAAGTGAAGTAATATTAACTTGCATGCAACGAAAAACATTTTAGATAGCCATAATCTTAACTGACATATTGCTTTGACAGGAAAGTGCTGTTTAAGAAATAAGTTTGCTTTTCTTCAGGTCACAAAGAGAAACAAGACCTGGAGTTTTCACTCATGATGGATTTTGCTGTGCAGGTAACTTGATTTCTTTGTGAGTAATTCAGTTGTCTGGAATGTGATCAAAATCATACGACCAGTTTTCCTTAAAAACTATTAAACTCAACATGAAACTCCCATAATCAATAATACTCCGCATTATAATAATAATAATAAAATCAATGGGGGGAAACTGTAGGGCAGGATTTTTACCATTATGATGGTGAAAGGTGTCGCTATATGACCCCTTTTATTAAAAAATAAGAGTGACTGGAAAAGTATTATCTGAAAATTTCAAAGCAGGGCTGTTTTTATATATAGTACGTTAAAAATATAAATATTTTTTCTTTAGAATAACATGCACTGATGAATCATTATAACCAATATATGTCAATGCATTATCTCTAAGTAAGCAATTCATACATTGATTTCTCTGAAAAGGCTCATTTTATTGCTCTGTTAGTTTAAGCGGCCTGACACAGCAACATTGACTTTAACGATAGGGAGACAGCTGGCGTGTTCATTATTTTTGCAATTCCATTCGGTGCTGCTGTCATGCAAGATCAGCTGCTTCTCAATATTCAAACTGATGCTTCCTCATTTCCTCGCTCCGCCGTCCTCCAGCCCGTGACCTGGAAATGGATCATCATGAAGGACATATCAATGCTCCAAATGCACTTGAGGAAACCCTCTATGTGGTGTTAAAACACCTTACAGATGCATTAAACTCCTCATTCACATCCGGCACAACAGTTAGGTTTATGTGCTATTTACATAAAACATTTTATGTACTTAAAGCAGTGCATCTTGCATTGTTTACACTTATTTAGGGATCACACTGTCCAATCAAAAAACATTTTCATTTTCATAGGAACGTTTGGGCTGTGAGTGTGTGCAGTTTACATTGTAGAACAAAACGTAAAAGTATCGTCAGGTTATGTTAACCACAAACTTTATTTTATTCATAAATTGAAAAACCTTATTATTAAAACCCCATAGGTAAATCTCAAAGGAGCCCGAGGCGAATTACACTTCCTGGTTCTGACGTCACTCTATTACGTGAATTATTTAAATGACATCACATGTTTTCATTTCAAAATCGAGTAGTTTTTATCACTTTATATTACTGTTGGTCTTTTAACATTATTATCGTAAAACATTTGTCAAATGTTTACCATTTAGTTACTTACATCTTACCGCCGTTAAAAACGGGACCGCCGCTGCCGCGCTGGAATTCGCACTTGGAACAGTAAAGCCCTGCCTCTTTGATTTGATTGGCCATCTCAATCATTTTGACATTAGCTATGTTTCCATCCACCTATTTTTATGCGCATATTTCTGGAATATTGCATAAAAAACGCTGGATGGAAACGCCAAGATGTACATAAATTCTAAAAATGCGCATAAAAAAACTTATGTGCACAATTGAGTAGGATAAACTTTTTATCCAATAAGAAAAAATGTGCATGAACTACAATGTAAACACATTTATCGAATAAATTCCACCATGCACATCAAAAAAGTCATGTGACTTTGCATGATGGGACGGGATAACTTGACTAACCAGCGGACCGATCTCATTGCACAGCATCTGAAATGTTGTTTTGGTCCTTCTGAAATGCCTGAGCAAAGTCTTTCATCAAAGTAGGCCATTTCTGAATAATTGTCTTACACGACTGCGTTCCCAAACAGCCTCCGAAAGCAATGATCGCATTTATTGTGTTTCATCTGCTCACTCTGAGGCGCAAGTTATTTATAATATATGAACATTTTTATATTCAGTGCTTCTCCTACTTAGTGCCAGTTTATTAGGAAGTGACGATTTTGTTCTCTTTGACTCGTTGGATGGAAACGGTGCTTAATTCGCAAATGTTTTATGCGATATTCCAGTTTTGCGCATAAGTTAAATTTGCATCTTTGCATGGAAACAAAGCTATTGACGAGTTAGAAATGCTTAAAAATACAACATTTTCCACTCAAATCATCCTAATATGCTGAAAATTCAGCTTCCCCATCACAGGAATAAATTACATTTTAAAATATATTAAAATAGAGAACATTTTAAATAGTAAAAAAAATGTTTTTCACTGTATTTTTGATCAAATAAATGCAGCCTTGGTGAGCATAAGAGACTAATTCTAAAACATTTAAGAAATCTTAATTATTGCAAACTTTTGTTAGGTAGTAAGAAGGTACTGTAAGAATGACACTGTAATGGATGTCAACCCTTCTCTGGCCCGTGGTTTCAAAAGCACAGCACAAGGGGGAGTTACATTGGAAGTAAAAGGGATAAACGCATACTTCTATTAAAACTAGCATAGGCTATGTGAGATTAATGGTTTTCTGTACATATGCTGTAAAGTCCAGGCTTGTGTGACCATATATGCACCCTGCTGAACTACATTTACACACCATTGACTAATAGCTGTGCTAGATTAATGACTGATGCAAGCCAACCTCAATCCTCTCACCCTGCTAAAGATACTCCCAATGCAAAGACAATGAGATTAGAATGACGCAAGAACTATTCAAGCTGCTGGACTCAAACTCTGCTGCAATTATTCATGCTTAAGTGACTATATCACTGAATACACCAAGGACAAATAACAAAAAACATGTTTAACAAAGAGCACTATAATATGGAAGAAGGGGGGGAAAGTTAGTGGTGCTTACCTGTGCAAAGAGCACTTATAAATGATCAGCAAAAATCTGAAAGTCTGATTTGTGGAAACGTACTGTACACAAATACATAGATGCAAACAATTTAAGCCACACAAAAGACTGCATCCAAAAATATGCCACAACTCTTTCAGGTTAAAAATGGCATGGCAGAGCAACGATACAAAGAGAAACTTGCTGAGCAAGTCACTGCACCTGTTGATGTGTATATAGTCAGATACCTGAAACAACAATCTTCTAATGCTAAATATGTGCTGACCTGTTATGAAAACAACAAGTGACATTGTCAGAGTTGAGCATTTATTACTGTAAATGTTACAGTACAATAGCAACATACAACAATCAAGGATGGTTTAAATACCACACATGGTGAGATCTTTTATGATGTAAAATGTGGCATCAAGCACCACTAGCAGCATCATAAAATCTTGCAACTTCAGAAATAAATAAAACATAGTTAAGTGAGTCATTTTGAAATATAAGAAAAAGCATAATAGGACCCCTTTAACAGACTCAATAAAATAATACCTTGACTACATGGAAATATACAGAATTGTACAATATACAGTTTTGAAATATATTAAAAGTTTCTATTTAGCTCTTTAGATGTCTTTGAAGTGAGATTAATCATCTCACATCATCATTATCCAAGTCCCATCTAAAGTAACATTAGTAATAAAGTGCTTTATATGTGGGAATATAAAATGATTACAATTCTTCATTGTTCACCATAACATCATTGTCCTTTCTTTTGTTTACTGGCCCTGTTGTTTATTTTAGGAGACACCTGCCATTCAGTCAAGCCATTGCACATGTCCTTTTTGTTTCCATGTGGCTCTTTGTACACTGGTTGTTTAGTAATTACAAGCATGCTATCTCCTTGACTTTCAACACTCTCCATGAAACTCTGAAGATCTTTCAGTTTAGCTGTCTGATTCATGCAGTTCTCCACGGATCCTGGTTGAGACTCCACTGACGTTCTCGTAACCTGTTTCGCTAGTGTGCTCTCCCAGTTGTCAACAACAGCTTCATCAGATTTTTCTTTCTCAAAATCTTCCTCAACAGAGCTACATTTGTTCATTTCATGATATTTCATGACCTCCTTGGAGTTTTCTTCAGGCCGGTCCTCGTCCTGTCCTGTGTCTGATGTCCCACCTTCATTGGCATCATTCTTTGCAGATCCATCCTGGTTCCCATCAGCATTCTTCTCACTCGTGAACTCGTCATTTGGAGTTTCATCTGACGTTTCACCTTCAATAGGTGTATCGTCTTTATTTGAATTAGATTCACCTCCATCTTCTGAAGACTTGTCTTCTGTACTCTCTTTCCCAGTCTCAGTTTCTGCTTCCCTGTCATCCGATTCGATTTCCTCACCAGTTTCTGTCATCTCATCCTCTTTTTCCGCCTCCATAGCCGTATCGCTATTTTCTGCACTTGCTGCATCTCCCTTGGGACTGTCTTTCTTCTCACAGTCCTCTTCTGTATCTTTTTCAGTCTCATCCTCAACAATCTCTACTTCCTCCTCCTCCTCAGCATCTGTCTTACCATTTGCCACCATTTCTTCTTTTACATCCTCACCTTAATTTTCCACCTGTTCTTCACCAGAATCTCTTTTGTCATTTGCTTCCTCTTCATTTGGATCTCTTGTCTTAGAGTTTACAGAGTCTACATCTTTGATGTTTTCTGCATTTTTACCTTAATCTACTGTATTGACAACACCGTCTGGCTCTTTATCTGCCGACTCAAATTTATGGTCTTTAGTATTGTCATTTGCTTCCTCTACCTCTTCATGAACCACTTCTAAGTTGTTCTCTTCTTTCTCAACTGCACAAGTCAAGTTGGTAGAGTGTTGTTCTTCCGTTTTTGGTTCTGTAGGTTGGGCTGGATCCTTTTTCATTTGCAAAATTTTTCGCAGATCAAATTCCATCATAACTGGAGCCAAACTCAAAGCCTGAGCTCGTTGGGCCGTTCTGGACGTCATCTTCTTTTTCATGCATGCATCACATGGGCAGTACTCATCGTCACTGCGCTGATCGCTGTATTCGGTTCCTGACGCAGTGTAAATTTTGTCACTCCTTGACAAGATGGACTTATTGCGCATGACCCGAAGACGCTTGCGTCGCTGCTCAGTGTGGACCGTAGACTCTCTCGATGGAGTATTTCCTGGAGGTCTCGGACCCCTGCCAGCCTGGCTTTGGATTTTTTTCAGTTCTCGGTTAATACTCGATTGGATCCTTTTGTGTACTTCCTCTTTCAGCTCAGTTATCATCTTATCGAGCATCTCATTGTCATCCAAATCCCACCTCACTTTGAACTCTGCCATGGCATCTGCGTAATGTAACATGAACTGCTTTTCTAGCTTGTTTAAT